TGTCCGGCAACTGTACTGTTATTACGTATGAGGAGATGTTAGCGAATCCGAGGGACAGTATTGTGAGAATCGCCTCATTCTTGGGACACAAATATGTGGACCGACTGTACGACCGGTGCGATGGCGATGACGGCACCCGTAGTAGTGGTGACACACTATTGGATCGTATCATACAAATGATTGGTTTCAATGAAATGAAGTCTACTATGCATTCAATGCCCACTGTTTTCCGGAAAGGTATGGCCGGCGACTTGAAATCCCATTTATTAGGTTGAACGGAAAGTCTTTACAAATTTTATTTTTCAAACATTTTGGAAGTGTTACAAGATAATAAATTTTTTATTTGATCATCAGTCAATGTAATTACCGCGAGTCAGTGCTATGGCACGCCAGCGGTCAGGCAGCATACTAATACCAAGTGATGCATGCTTTTGATTTATGTCCCGAATTGTTGCTTCATAATCGCGAATTAGCTCATCTTGACTCTGGAACTGCTTCCCCTTATTTGGAGTTTTTATAATATATATCCCATCCATATCCGGCGGTGACATATCAGGACTATATGGCGGGTGTTCTAATTCCTCCCAACGATTTTCTTGTAAAAACTCTCGAACTATTCGATGTTTATGGGGTCTAACATTGTCATGTAAGATAATTGGCTTTGCCATTGTCTTTCGAGTAACTTCCGGGAGCACTCGACGTTCAAGAAACTTAATATAAACACCACTGTCTACGGTTTGCCCATTGGGTAATATCTCGTATGTAAAGACTTGCTTCTTCCAAAGTGCCACGATCATTATGCACTTCCATTGCTGAAACTGCACGCAATTTCTTTGGTCTGTGATAAGTAAGATAGAAATCCGGTGAGTTTGAAATTTGTACAAATAACAATTTTTAAAATCTTTTGTACTTCCGGCTTTTGACCAGGGAGCAAGCATTCGCTAATTTGTTTAGCATGCTCAGGGTCATATGAGTTTAACCATATCATTATAAACGCCCTCGGGTTCTTCACGTGAAACACTATCGCGAAGTTTTTCCAATTGGGCAAATCGGGGGCATTGACATTTTTTAATGCCAAAAATAAAAGGATTAATTTAACAAAGTGATACTCTATTATTACGCAGTAGACAAACAACTGAACATATATAAACATTTACTTAAAAATATAATCTAATAAATAAGAAGTTATCATAGGGTTCAATGTTTGTAAAGACTTTCCGTTCAATGTAATAATTAGAGATGAGAGCGATTTGATTGACCACAAGGTTAGGGACGAGTGGATGGGAACTGGATTAGAGTCACTGTGGGAATGGGAGATACAATGGTCACTGAATGTTTAGGACCTAAAATTAATCCATGTTAAATGTATCAATCTTATTCCTGCTAGTGTTCACAAAACATCAAATTTTCATAAATATAAATATTTGATATTTTATTAACAATTGTAATTATTTTAGATTTTTATGCATAATTTTGGAAAAATGGTAAAAAAGATTTTAACCCTATAAAAATAATTATTTTAATGAATAAAACAGACAATAAGTTTAATTAATTAATATTTTTAAAAATCCAAAATATAATATAATCAAACCTTAAAGTTTTTCAATTTCAATATTCATCTGGATATTCATTTGAATATTCATTGGGTGTATATGAAAATATTTTTAAATGCATTTTAGAAAACTTTTAAACTTAGTTGGAAACATCGAAGCACGAACCTAAATTGAGTGGTTATGAATGCCATAAATAGTTAGCCAGTAACCTAATTAACATCTTCAATTGATTAAACTTGGCAAATAAAGTAAATTGGCTTGTTGAGTTCACATTGGGGTAATTTAAACCAATGTCCCATAGGATTAACATGAAATATTTAGGCCATTTAAGATAAATGTCCCATGGTTTAGCATGGGATATTGGTGCTTTTTAAACCAATTTCCCCATAGGATTAGCATTGGGTTTTAATCTCATTTTATTTAATTTCCCCCATAGACTTAACATCGGCTAAAATAGCTAAATTAATGTCACTTATTTGCACATAATATTCACTTTTGCACAATTTTTCCAAATCCCATAGACTTAGCATGGTGGTTTTGTACATTTTGGTTGTACTTTTTCGACCACACGTCCCTCAATCTCCTTTTGTCGCTTAACGCTATGGGATTATTGGTTCCGCAACCGACATTTTTTGACACATGTGTCATGCACATCATTATACACAATTTTCTCATAGGGTTAACATGGGCCGGAAACCACAGCGTCATTACGTCATCGGAAATATTTTGCCCACTTTTGCTGAGATTTTCCATAGAAAGTGACAAAGTCCTTATTGTTTTTACGACCAAAAACCCCATGTTAAGTCTATGGGATTTGCTATTTGACCGTCATCAGCGTCATTAATGATGGAGCGGGGGAGGGGGCACAAAGTGATTCTAGTATACGATTTCCCCTACGGAAAAGCGTATAACAACCGTATAATTGAAGTATCTCCAAAATTGCCGAAAAGGAAGCCATCAAACAAATCAAACGAGTAATCTCCGAGTATTGAAATAATAGAGATCAGAAGTTCATCAACATCAATGCATCGGATCCAATGTACGGGACTAAATTCTTATCAGAGGTAGAATTAACCGGCTTGTACTTCCAACTCACTCCCGGCAAACTATCAACAGATAGCGATTCACAAATAGACTTGTTTGACATCATCGAAAAAAGACACGGCTTATGATTACGAATCTGTTTTGTCTGATCACAAGCCGATAATAACACTAATAGATAATTAAAGGTCTTATAAGATAAACTAACAATTTGAAAGTTTACTAATATATATTTTAATAGGTTTGTAGATTACGATAAAGTTAGGGGAATGACTGAAAGAGAACAACCCCTTTAAAAAAGGGTGGGTACCGTAGACCTACGTCCACGCCGTGGTACCTGGGTAACGCTAACAGGTGTTCATTTATAATCAAGAAAGTTCTACTACTAATAAAATAAAAAGAACTCTTAAATGATATTTGTCAATTATATTTAATTCGGAGTATTCATAATAAAGTGAATAAACAAAATCTTTGATTCTATATTAGCTTCACTGTAAATGTGGGTTTCTATAGCATTGCTTGCAGTCCTTGTTTTTAATGTATTGACGGCAAGGAATTGGTCGCAACTGTCCGTCAATGGAGTGGTACTCATGAATGGACAGACAGCATATTATGCAATCTTAATATTTGATACTGTTACCAGGATGAATTTGGCTTGTCATTTATAGCTTCATGATGCGTTTTAGCAAATGATTTGCATTTTATTCTGGCTATAGCCAAGCATATTGTAATGTGATTTTCTAGTATAAAAAATATTCTTTGTCTTATATTGTGTATTTTCATTCGCCAAATATAACTAGCTCAGTGTATTTAGAATATGATATAGAAAATTATGACATTTTTTAATTATTAAGATTGCATAACATGCTTGGCTACTGCCGTAGTTAATTGCAAATCATTTGCTAAAAACATATCATTGAAGCTATAAATGACAACAAAATTTCTTTAAAAATGCTAAAATAGCTCAAAAATGCTGAATATCACACTCAACCCCGGGCTAAGCCTTATTTCAGTCTTCCACCTCTTTTCCTTCTTTTCTTTTCCCTCCCTTCCCCTCTTATCGCCAATTACTTCCTTCCAAAACCAAATATTAAACCTATGGGACAAATACACTTTTACCCACATTTACGTAGTAAAAGAGTGGGTTATCAAATCACTCTGTACCACCCCCACCCCCTCAACTCCGTCATTAATTACGCACTTTAACATAACTCCATAGGTTTAACATGGGGTTTTTTGATAGTTTAGCCGTTAAGAACTTTGTTTTTTCTATGGAAAATCCCAGCAAAAGTGGGCAAAAGTATTTCCGATGACGTAATGACGCTGTGTTTCCAGGTTCATGTTAAACCTATGGGAAAATGGTGTATAATGATGGTGCATGACGGGCGTGTCAACAAATGTCGGTTGCGGAACCAAAAATCCCATAGCGTTAAGCGACAAATTGACATTAAGAGACATGTGGTCAAAAAATTACCATCATAATCCACAAAAGTCCCATGTTAAGTCTATGGGATTTTGAAAATGCATTTAATGTGCACTTATCTAACATTGATTCAGCCAATTGGGATAGATATACGGTTCCACAACAATGGTTTGAAAATTTCAAAATTTCTTGAAAATGGTAAAATAGCTAAAAAGTGTTGAATAGCGCATTAAGCCCCATGTTAAACCTATGAGTTTCATTTCAAGCCCTCCCCTTTCAAGCCTTTCCCTTTCCTGCTGATTTAACTGATTTATCTTTACAAAGCTAATGCAAAATACAGTTTCAATTGTGATAGAGCATACTTTTATAGATTTTTATTAATTTACGATAAATATCTAATTTATGAAAATGTTATTAATTCTATATTAGCTTGACTGTAAATGTTGGTTTCTATAGCATTGCATTGCAATCCTTGTTTAGAGTTGAACTTATTTTTATCATTCCCTTTCCTTTTTTCAATCACTCTTTCCTCCTCCCCGTTCTCTCCCATCCCATCCCATCCCATCCCATCCCATCCCGTCCCCTCAACTCCCTTCCCTTCCCTGCTGCCCCTCCTCTTATCGCCAATTACCTCCTTCTCACTATTTTAGTTTATAAAGCTAATTCAAAAGACAATTTTAATTGTGAAAGTACATAATTTTATATGCTTATTGATTACCGATAAATAATCTAAAATTAATAACATTATAATTCATTCTATAGTCGCTTCAATGTAAATTCGGTTTCCAATAGCATTGCTTGCAAACCTTGTTTTATATTTATATGTTGCTGACTATATAACAGTAATACTGAACTCGAATAAACAGGATCTTGTTAATATTTTGTGCCAGTCTGAAAAAAACATTTAATGAGTGATTCGTAAAAATTGTCTATAAATGGACATGGAACTATTGAATATTATATATGTTTTAAGTTATACTTTGAGTTCTAAATAAAATTATATTTATTAAACATCGTGTCTATAATGAGTTCACTGTTGGGGTCAGTGTTGCAACGAATTTGGGGGACAATCGGTTGGTGTCTCATAGGACTCGTTGTGGCGGTGATGGCGTACTACTACTTGTAAGACATTTATTAATATTAATTAAATAATTTTAATATTAATTAAATAATTTTAATATTAATTAAATAATTTTAATATTAATTAAATAATTTTAATATTAATTAAATAATTTTAATATACTAATAATTCATTAAATTTTGTATTCACTATTTTGAGTTCGTGGAGGAATGCCTTCAGCTATTGGAAGGATCGACACATTTGTGGTCCGAAACCTGTGCCTATATTCGGAAATGTTTTGACTCGTGTCCTAAGATCTCGACCATTCGTGGAGATGGAGTGGTATAAGAAATACGGCAAAATCTATGGGTAATTAAAACGTGAAACTGAAAATAAAATTTAAAACTTTTTTGACTGTGAGTACAGAACATACATATTAGCGAAGCCCTGCCTAACAGTTGCCGATCCGGAGCTCATCAAACAAATTCTGGTCCGAGATTTCAATGCATTTCGTAACCGACAGCCGCGTTCAGGGGGTTATAGTTTGGTCATCAAGAATATGGTCAGAGCCAGGGATGACGACTGGAAGCGGGTTCGGGCGATAGCCAGCCCTACCTTCTCGTCAGGAAAGATGAGGAAAATGTATGCTCTGATCGACCGGTGCTGCGAAGACTTCATCGATAGCCTCGATAAGGATGTGTCGAACGGTGTGAATGAAGTCGAGTTGAGGCGACTGATGGGCGCCTACACTATGGATGTGATCGCCAGCTGTGCCTTTGCCACCAAAACCAATACATACGCCGATCCTAACAACCCGTTCACTACCACTGCGTTCAATATACACAAGGTTTCCGTTTGGAAAGGGATGTTAGAAATGATATTGCCTTCAGTTATAGTAAACTCTGATATATACCGACGTATTGTAAACAATGGCATAATTTATAGCAAATTTTTCGTTGATTTCACGCGAAGTCTAATAAAGAAACGAAAGGAAAACCACGAAAAACACAACGATTTTCTGCAGCTATTAATGGATGCCGAGAGACCTGAAGGAGACATACGAGAGGCCAGTGATGCCAATGAAGCACATCATGTGAATGAGGGTAAGGATGAGATGACAGCCAATGCCGAGGCCTTCAAAGGGTGTTGGAGAAGAAGTTGACTGAAGACGAGATATTAGCGCAATGTTTGCTATTTTTGACGGCCGGGTATGTGACGACTGCCACTACTCTGTCGCACTGTACGTATGAGTTGGCACTCAATCCGGGACTTCAGGACAGACTCTATGAGGAGACGAAAGAGGCGTTCAATGAAAAGGGAGAAATGGATTACGAAGTCCTATCGAGACTACCATTCCTGGACGCACTCATATCCGAAACTCTTCGCAATAGTCCGCAAACACTTCGTCTTAAGAGGGAAGCCATGGAAGACGTAATGTTAGGCAATACTGGAGTAAAGATCAAGAAGGGAGTTGTCGTTGAGATCCCGTTGTATGCTATACATCATGACCCCGACTACTATCCGGATCCATTCACATTCAACCCTGATAGATTTATGCCTGAGAACAGGGATCACATCCAACCCTATACTTACCTCCCATTCGGTTCGGGTCCACGAAATTGCATTGGAATGCGATTCGCGTTATTGGAGGCAAAGCTCGCGTTGGCGAACATCTCACACAAGTTCCGCTTCTCCAGAGTGGCCAACACTGACGTCCCCGTCGTCTACACTAAAACACTCTTAAATGTATTACAACCCAAACGGCTCGTTGTGGGCATTCACAAGCGATAGACTATTTTTCGTGTTTAATAGCATAATATGAAAATATATACATTATTTCAATTGTATTATTTGCTATTAACAATGAAATGAAAATAAAAATCTTTATTATCATACGATTATTAGACAAGACTTTTTAATTCATTACGTTTATATATTAATAGATTTAGTTGGGAGCATCTCGGGATGGAAGCAAATTGAGTGGTCGTGATTGCCACGAATAGTTGGCAAGTAACATTATTAACATTTTGAATTGACTAAACTAGGCGATTTAAGTAAATAAGCTTGTAAAATTCACTTTCAACCATTGCTGACATCCTCAATTTGTCATTGAATTAACATAAGTTTCATGGACTGCACATAATATCAACTTATTTGGCCATCAAACAACATTATTCCAGAAATGATTACTGATTAGGGTGACCAGAACGTCCTCTGTTAGGAGAATTGTCCTCCTTGGACATTAATTTCATAAAATGCAACTTTTTTATCTGACTTCCATTTAACAGGGCTTTTGCATCAATCGTATTTTTATCAGTTATTAATTAAAGTTTATTAGTATATTATGTACTTTTCCATGACTATATATGAGTGCCATCATCGTAAAACAACTTATCTCGGTAACGTATGCTTACTTGCAATGCCCTCCGAAAACACAATGTTTAATAGTGATTCAATTATTAAAACTATATTTAAAATAATTTCAATATTTTCAAATAAAAGTTCATTAATAAATAGACGGAAATCGTTAATCTTTGTAAAATACCTTTATAATTATTAAATTACTATTAAACATTGTATTTTCAAAGAGCATTGCAAGTAAGCATACGTGACCCAGATAAGTGGTTTTATGATGATGGCATTCACATGTGCTATGGAAAGTTGAAATGAGCTTTGTACCTTTAATTAATAATAGAGTATTAATATTGATTAAGTTGTATTGGAATAGCAATACAAAAAAAATTAAGCATTCAATGTTAATTATTTTAAAACTTTAAGGTACAGCGTTCCCATCAACTTTCCATAACACATATTAAGTATTTAAGAATTAAATGCATGTTTGGATCATCTTGATGATTTTCCCCATTTGTCTGAAGATCTACGCTCCGGGTAGTTACCAACGGAGACAGGTCCGATCTTATTATGCGGAGCATATTAAGATCAATGGGAGTTGTGTGATAGATGTGTGCAAACACACTGGCAATCTGTCACTTAGCTCCCATGGCCTCTCAGTTGGTGACCCAATGTTGATTCGAGGGCGGATACAGTCTCGACACCGTTCATCCACTAGATACTTTATCTACATCCTCATCGACAAAGCAGTTCAAGTCGATGAGAAGGACGGTGTCGATTCTGTATCAGGATATTCTTGTTCTTGCCCTAATGACCTAAGAACTGTTTGCTGTTGTGCCCATGTGGCCACAGTTCTGTGGTATCTCGGATTTGGTCGTCACCAATCCGAGATCCTAATTCCCGCAGAATTATTTTTATTGAAAGAACAAGAATAACAAAGCGACATTTTGCATTGACAAGGGTGATTTTAGGGGTTGGTGGTGGGATTGTGGAGGACAGTGGGTGGTTTGGAGTTTTTTGGGTTGGGGATGTTAGGGTGGGATGGGAGTTGAGAAGTTATTATATTTTTGATCAATGGTCATGTAGTTGATTTTTAAATAAATATGTGCAATATTTGATTATTTCGTAGTTTAATATTAATTTAATTCAGTAATTATTAATTTAATATTATTGAGAGTAAAACATTCTTATTCTACGTTAAATTCCACATTGATTTCATATATCATTTGTTGGTATTTTTTCAAAAAATATTCCCGACAAAAGTGGTCACTGCGGCCGAACATGAGGTCACAGGACAATATAGGTGACATATTGGGACTCAGGGTTAAATGTTCTATAAGAATCAATCATAATATCCCAGGTGCCAGCTTAGATCAAATAAACGAGAATCAAAATGGTATCGTTAATTAAAGTCTATCCTGTAATAGTACTGTTCAACTGTCACCGAATGCTCGCATCAATGCTTTGGAGTCATATCGCTCTAAGAAATTAACGATTTATTTTGCATAAAAAACAGACATGCATGCAATCAGGCTAAAATTATGACCAGGGTATGCATTTTATGAACATTTTATGAATCCCACATGAAATTTTAATAAATTTCCAACATTTTGGTATAGTTTTTGTTAGCAAAATATAATTGTAAATATTTTTAATTTAATTTAAAAGTGGTACTCATACGATGGGACACCCGATATATTCATCTTTTTATTCAATTTATTTATCAAAATATGACATTTTAAAAAAATAATTCATACTTAATTAATCTAACTCTTAAATTATCCAGTATTAACATAATTAATATATTTGACTAATCAGTTTGTTATATTTCTTTTTAATATTAATCTTTAAATTGGATTCAAATAATAATATTCATATAAATTAAATAAAAAAGATGAATATATTTTGTGATGAAAAGTAGTGAAAAGAGATTATGTTATAATATGAAATATATCATTGAAAACGTACATTGCAAGGTTTTCGTTGTTCCTAAGTAAAGTATATTATAGAATCTATAATATAGATACTTAAAATGGTATTCGGTCATTTGACCTAGAAATCAAACACGTTATTTATGGATGCAAACATTTTTAGGTTAGGTTAGGTTAAGTAAGGATTTCAAAAATAACGTTTAAAAATAAATTCGTCCATAAATAACGATATATAAAGAGGTACTTTATGATTTTTTTTGAAAAAGTTTATTTTTTGTTCCTCAGTTGCATGAGGGTAAAAGTGCAATTTTGAATATTTGTAGGTCAAATGACCCAAGACCACTTAGAATTTATAAATATTGAATAGTTTGCTCAATGTCTGTCTTTTATACGCAATTTCTTATAAGTCACTCTTTAAATTGTGAGGACTGGCCACTAGACGGCAGCACTTAGGCGCGTAACAACTATCACTCATCGCATTTCACTCATCAATGCATTCATACATTTACCTCATTAATCATAGTTTTAATTGTATTTTAATTACTCTTATTTATAATTATACTTTTATTTATACAAAACATTGTCTACAATATTCATACAATTATATTCATGTATTCACTTAATTATAATTATAGCGCCTAAACCTATTCATGTAAGCTGTAGAGTAAAATACATGCTCTGCAGTGACCCTTCACGCAAATTATACAATAAAATATATTAAGTTTTAGTTGCAAAGTTAACCACTGGATTACCATTATTTGTGTCATCATCCACTCTCGCATCACTTGTAAAAGTGAGTAACTTTGGGCTCATCACTACCGTTGTCTTCACATCCCGTGGCTTTGAGGCGGCTTTCACTCCATCATCGGTAGGCGCGTAAAGTCAGATGCACTCATCGGTTGTCGTAGCCTAAGGCTCCAACCCTCGCAAGTCTGATGGGCGCCTAATACCGCTCTGTACGGGTCGATCGCCCAGAGTGCTCACCGCTTCATGCGGTCCACATCTGAAACAATCCACACCTTAACGGTCACTCGAGACCACCAAAAGGAGACTCTAGACAACACGATTCGTCACAAAATAATTTAAAAATCATGATGATAAGTTATCATTGATAACATACAGATATGTGGCATAGGCATACCTAGAGATATGGGGTCATTTTTCCAGAAACGGAAATTCTCATAAAATGGATTTTTGAGCCCCCTTTAGTAAATCAAAATCATTCAATTTTCAATTAAAATAACATTAATATTCATTTATTTATCAAAATAATTGCATAGTGATATTAATAAAACATTTGTAAAACATTAACTAATATATTAACATACACAGATTAACATACATGGGTTCCGGAGCCTACTAATACTTTTTTGTAATTAATATATAATAAAGTATCGTTAGTTTGGTCTTTAATATCTTCCGGAAAAAATAATTCCTTATGCTCGAACCACGAAGTATATTTTTATTGAGTTTTTGTCATTTTTGAAAATTTGAAATTTAACATTTTTCCAAATATTTCTTAACGTTACAACAAATTTAAAACCTTAATTTCTTATTAAAATATAAGTTATGCGTTTAAATATAATAAACATATTTATATGAGCATATTAGTTCATGCAATTATTATACACACATTAAATAACCTTGAGTTTTATTCAAACAAATATTTCTAAGTTTGTCGTCTTTTTATATTACTTTTATAATATTTTTTGAATTAAATATGATTAAACACTTAAATCATATTACTCTACTTTAAATTGACATTTGCCCCTTTGCTCTACCCTTTTGCAAAACCATTTTTTGAGAGTTTCCGTTTCTGGAAAAATGACCCCATATCTCCAGGTCTGGGCATAAGGTATATTACGAAATATATATATAGGGTATATAACATTGAGTTGCAAAAGTTAAAATCACCTAAAAATAGGGATGATAAACTAATAGCCTAATCACCTATACTTGATGAACTTATCAATTTTTAAGAGCCTTAGTTATTTATGTCATAATAAACTTAATAGACATTTAAAATTACTACTACATTCATTTGTATAAAATAAGTTTAAATTGATTATATGCTCATTTTATGATTAACAAACTTTTAATATTTTTCACTTGTTATATTTGAAATGTTTATGACTAAAACTTATAAAGGTACAAATAACTAGTGTTGAATGGTTGGATAAACAATTTGTGTGTAACGCTAAAAATGAATTAAGTATATACATCACAAATAGACATAATTTGAAACAAGTGAAACTCAATGGTATATAAGGTATATTAATAAGGTATGTATAAGGTATTAAGGTATACGGTATAAGGTAATAAGGTATAAGGTATATTAATAATTAATATTTTTGTCTGTTTCTGATCATGCTTAACAATGGCTAAAACAATGGTTAAAATTTACTAAGGCTATTTATTTATTATTTATTTGAATGTTGTTGCACGTGATCACGTGATACCACTACCAGTGATTGGGTTTTGCATACAATAGTGTTGGGCGCCATATAA